TACAGTTTGCTGCCCGCTTACCTAGTGAGACTTCTGTCTCAATAAACACAAGAAAACGAGAAACAACAAATTATTAGACATTAAATGGTTTCTTGGATAATTATGCAGTACAAAAAAAGTTGACAACAACTTGAAGTAATCGGGAATTACATAACTTTGCTCTGGGAAAAGTCCTCTCAAAAACTTTCATATGGTGAAAGTGGCTTTACTGGAACTCCATATTACTATTATTTTTGAGACAGGATCTCAATATGTAGCCTGGGTTAGCCAGGCGCTCACTATGTAGATCAGGATGGCCTCAAACTGATGAGATCCTCCTCACTCAGATTTAATAGTGTGCGCCACCATGCCCTGGTTAGAATGGATTTATCTTAGTGACTCACTAAGTTTCTCTTTGGTGGTCTAATACCTTTTAGCCAAAAGTGTAGTATATAACTAGAAAACTTAGGGAATGAACTGAGGGTCACATGGCTAAACTGAATTAATCAGTAGACATTTTTGAATACAAAACAGGTGTCTACGGATCTTACAGCATCTGGAATCAAGACTTCAAACACACTGTGAGTTCAGTCTCCAGAGTACTCTGGTTAGCAACAGGTGAAGACAAATGTGCTTGCTGGTTGGCTTCTGTCAAATTGATCTGAGTCTCCTGGGAAGACGGGAACTGCCATTGCATTTTTATTTATTACATATATATATATATATATATATATATATAGAGAGAGAGAGAGAGAGAGAGAGACAGGGTTTCCATGTGTAGTCCTGGTTGTCCTGGAACTCATTCTGTACACCAGGCTGGCCTTGAACTCAGTGATCTGCCTGCCTCTGGTTCCCAAGTGCTGGGATTAAAGGTGTGTGCCATTACAGCCCCGACTTTGCTTGTGGATAATTTTCTTGACTTAATGGGGCCCAGTTCCCTGCGGGTGGTGCCACCTTTGGGCAGGTGTGGGCTATATAAGGAAGCTGAGCAAGCTATGGAGAACAAACCATATGCGGCCTTTGTCTCTACTTCAGTTCCTGCCTTTGGGATCCTGCAGAGTTCCTGTCCCAATTCCTCTCAATGATGGACTACAACAAACCCTCTCTTTCCCCAAATTAGTTTTGGTGGGTATTTGTCACAGCTCTGAAAAGCATATTTAGGATGACAAACATCAAAAAATGATGTTCCATCAAGCTGTTGTGGGATATTTGTAGACTGTGTGAAATATATTGTTGTGACTGGTTTAATAAAGAGCTGAATGGCCAATAGCTAGGCAGGAGGACTAGGTGGGATTTCTGGGCAGAGAGAGAAAGAGGAGAAGGAATCTAGGCGCTTCAGAGATGAGACAGGAGGAGGAAGCAGGACGGGTAGTACAGAAATAAGGTTAAAAAGTCATGACGCAAAATGTACTTAATATAAATGGGTTAATTTATGTTAGTGGGACAAACCTAAGCTAAGGCCGAGCTTTCATAATAAGCCTCTGTCATTATTTGGGAGCTGGCTGGTGGAACAGAAAAAGTCTCGATACGGTCAAGCACTGGTCAGACAGTTCAGAGCAAACTCTCTAAGATTTTATTACACACTTTCTCTATATTCCACTTCCTTCTGTGCTACATGAACTGACCTGCTGTTTTATGAAACAAAACAGGAAAGGAATGGAATTTTGCCCCTGCTAGTTACCTATTGCTACTTACAACCCCTCCTCCCCAAGAAACCTAGTGGACCAAAACAAATATTTCACTCATTAATCTGTGTTTTGGGAAGGCTTGGCAAGGACAACTCGCCTTTGTTCCATTTGGAGTCATCTGGTAGGGTCGCAGTGGAGTCTGAGAAGCCTCTCAGAGAGCTCAGGTAGGGAGCAACCTAGTGGTGGGCCATGGATAGGAGTTGGGCGGTGAGCAGGTAGGCTTTCTGGAGATGTTTGGGTTTTCTCATACAACAGCAATTTGGCTGTAGAGCAAGTGTTCCTGTTGGGCATGGGGAAGCATATCACTAATTCCATCACTTGGGAGGCGGAGGCAGGCAGGCCTCTGTTTGATCTATACAGGAAGTTCTAGACCAGCCAGGACTATAAGAGATCTGTCAAAAAACAAAAACAACACAACAACAAACAGCCCCCCCCCCCCACAAATATTTCAAGGAAGCAAAAGCTTTGAGCAAAACACTCGGTGGTTTCTTTGTGCAGCCCTGGCTGTTCTGTAACTCCCTCTGTAGACCAGGCTGGCTTTGAACTCAGAGATCCACCGGCCTCTGCCTTCCAAGTGTTGGGATAAAAGACATGCATCGATATCTCCTGGCATAAAATAAAGTCTTTCAGGCTCGATAGATGACTCATAGGTTGAGTACCTCATGCTCTTCCAGAGTTCAGTCTCCAGCACCCGTACTAGGCAGTTCTGTTCACTGCATTTCACTTTAGCTCTGAGATTTGACATCCTCTTCTTTAAAAAAAAAAGCTGGGACCTCTTTGAGTTCAAGGTCTGTCAGGGTTACATAGTGAGACTTTGTCTAAAACAAAAAACAGAAAACAAAAATACATGTTTTCTTTTAATTTGAAAAAAATAATACATTTTATTTGTATATGTATGCATACACATGGCAGTGCACAGTGCATGAGGTCAGGACAACTTGCAGGAGTTGGTTCTCTCCTTCTACAATATGGAGGCCAGGGATCAAACTCAGGTCATTAGTTTGGTGCCAAGTGCCTTTGCCTGCTGAATGATCATCTTACCAGCACTTTTTCATTAGGAAAAAATGTCAAAAGAAAACAAAACAAAAACCCTTTCAAACATTTATTCTACGTGTATGAATATTTTGCTTGCATATATGTCTTTGCACCACATGCATGCCTGTTGGCTGATGCCAGAAGGTGTTGGATCGCTTGGAAGTGGAGTTACAGATGGTTGTGAGACACCAATACCACGCAAGTCAAACCTGAGTCCTCTTGTATAGCCATGGGCTCTTACTCTATAGCCCAGGCTGACCTGGAACTCACAATGTAAACTAGGCTATCTTCAAATTCCTAGCAAACCACCTGCCCGTAAAATGCTGGCATTAAAGGTATCAGCCACCATAACTAGCTACATTAAAACTATTTCTGTTGGGCGTAGTGGCACACACCTTTAGTCCCAGCACCTGGGAGGCAGAGGCAGGCAGATCTCTAAGCTTGAGGTCAGTCTGGTCTACATAGTGAGTTCTAGAACATCCAAAGCTACATGGTAATATACCCTGTCAAAAAAAAAAAAACAAAACAAACAAACAACCAAACCCAACAAAAAACATACACACAAAAAAACTATTCCTGTCCAGGGGGGTGGCACAAGACTGTTAATTCCAGCACTGGGAAGCAGAGGCAGCAGGATCTCTGAGTTCCATGCCAGACTGGTCTACACAGCTGGTCCTAGGCCAGACCAGTGGAAGGTACACAGTGAGATCCTGCCCCAAAAGCATTTATATATATTTTAATAAATACATATATTTATTAAAAAATTACACATATATTTCCTAAGTGACTAAGTAGCACAAGATAAAAGAGTGGACAACACTGGAAAAAGCTGGTTTGTTTTCAAGGATACATATTAAAGATAGTTCAAATCATAAAAATCATTTTCTATTGCTGACCAACATGGTTTCAGTTTCTGTGGCACAATCATTATTTCTGGAACTCTGCAAATGGCACCATGATATTTTCCTGTTTTACATCATTCAAAAGAAGATGGCAATTCACTATTTTTTTTCTGGCTGAAACTCTAGATTTCCCCCAATGAATCACTGTGGAAATGCCCTAACAAGTTCTTTTCTCCCTCTGACTTAATGACTGAGTCTGCATGTGGCTTACCAATCCATTTCTTTCTCTTCTATATGCAGTATGTATCTTTTAAAAGTGACTCCACGATAAATGTGCTTCTACTCCAAATGGTTAATCAATTCCCTACTGAAGCTCTTCTGTTCTATAGTCTCATAGTTAAAAATTGGAAAAGCAGGCCACCTTAGGAACAAAGTTCAAGGGGAAACTTCTAGAAAGCTGGCAGGTTCCGCAATCCCTTAGCCCCTGTTGTATTAGATTTTCTGCTCCCCTAGCTCCGCCCCACTTACTCTTCTATTCCCAAGCAGAGGGCAGAACCATTCTCTAAAAACACTATCCAGGCACTTCCAAGCTTAATAAACAATTGCCTTTTTGTTGTATTTAGGAGGAAATATAAACTCCTTACCATGGGCTTCATGCATCCTGTGGCAGAGCACACTATTCCCACCACGTCCTATCTCCCCTGCACCAGCTTTCCTTCTTAGTGAGGACCTTTACACAGTGCTATGCCCACTTAGATACCTACTCCTAGAAGTCTGTCCTCATCCCGCTGCCTGGCTACATCCTTATGTCTCCCTTAGTTTTCTTCTGACAACTTCCCTTATCCATGTTACCCAAATATCTAAAGTTGTTCTGCCGCATTCTCCCCATAATTACGTACTTCTGGGTAGCATATTCTTATCCTTCATGGCACTATAAAATCATCACAGTACACAGAAATTACACTGCTTCTTCCTGCTGCTGCCCCATAAGTGGATATCTGAGAAGCCACACAGGCACAGTGCCAGCACCTATTGAAGCCTATCAATGAAGAGCTACCTGATGGATATGTAATTAACAAGACCTTACTATGTAGTCCTGGCTGGCCTGGAACTCCTAGACTGGTCTGTCTCTGCCTCCCAGGTGCTGGAACAAAAGGCATGCACCATGCCTGGCTAAACTTAATTCTTAGTTTTCTTTTCCTTTGAGGTTCCAGGGAAGGAACACGTGCCAAGCAGTATTCTACCCCTGACCTAATGATCCAGTGCTATCCAGCCCTAACTGGAACTCACTGTGGAGCAGTCTGGGCTGCCTGCAAACTCATGTGAATCTTCCAGTCTCAGCCTTGTGAGTGCTGGTATCACAGGTCTGACTTTCTTCCTTAGTTCTTACACTTGGTTCTCTCCTACCCTGAGAGTAGGAGCTTTAGGAGAAGACACCAATGAGAGCTGGGACGTGTTAGAGTAAAAAATGCAACAGATACTTTATTCTTCAATGCAAATTACTGCATTCACCACAAGCTGAAGGAGGACACGTAACTCTATCTGTATATATACTTATATATATTTGGATTTATGGAAGACCAGTGAGACATGGAAAAATCCAGCACCCCAGCAAGTACAGCCAGGAAGGCAGTCACCTCCGTGGTAGGACAGGTTTAATGAACTACAAACAAGAAAGAGGGAAAAGGAAGGAAAAGAATGTGCAGTGAATTTAAGACACCGTAAAACTTAGAAGACATCTACTGTTCAAGTATAAACTCAGTAAGGACTTGGCATAAATTGAAAGGCAGTTGCTGAGGTACACCATTATGAAATAAGTCTTAAAAAATTTACAATTCTACCTTCCAATTTTCTCAGAGAAAAAAAAAAGCAAGCTCTTGAGGCCTTCACCAGAGACCCTGAGAGGGATAAAAACACTTGATGAAGACAGAGTCAACAATTCATGATTGAACTTGCTACTCAAAAACATGTATTTATTTAAACAACAGGGTATGTGTTCTCAGACTGTCCTCTAGAGACTATTAATTCAAGCGTTTCAAAGTATATGATTTCCAAAAACAATACTGATTAAAAATTTTTTAAAAATAAAAAAAAACCTGATTTGATGGTACCTCAAAGATACACTAACTACCAAATTTTTTCCAGTCTAACATTGCAATTGGGTTAAGAGTTCCTCCTGCATTGGTAAAACATTTTTCCTCACAAAATGTGGGTACTGAAACTGGATAGAAACACCATGAATGTGAAAATATCACCAATTTTCTGTAGTTTAAAAAAACTAGAATGTTCTTTGGGATCACTAAAATATAAAACAAATTTGGGTTTTTTTCTTGTTTGTTTTGTTTTTTCCTACAGTCTGTGCACCTTTCCGCATCTCCATGTTGCTTGAAGTAATGACCTGTGTGATGCTACGTTTATAGATTCAAGTCTTGCAGTGCAATATCCATGCTTAACACACCAGGGTTTCTCTGATCAATGATGCTTAACCCAGACACGCTGTCAATTATTTCTCCAAAATGACTTCACCCCAAAATAAAAATTGTGGACTAAGACGCAAACACCTCATGTAAACAACCAAATGAACCCAACATGAATTCCGGCGTGGCTTCAGCATTCAGGAGACCCTTGTCACCTGCTGTTTTTCATGGAAGTACCACAGGCCCAGCTGCTGACATCCGGCCTCCTAGGCCTCAAAAGAAATTCAGGGCTGGCAAGTTGGATTAGATTCTAAGAGAATTTGTCTTTGACAAACTACCAATTTTAGCATAAAATCTGGCCATGGCTATAAGTTTCAATGTGTGTACAACTGGTAAGAGATGTTCGTGTGTTTTTTTTTCTTTCCATTTCAACATTGTTGGAATCGAGTAGAAATATGTCCATGGTATCTCTTCACATGTGTCATGAAATATGAGAAATCTGTCTGATTCTAGACACTATTTCTTTACGACACAATGGGCAGGTCTCCAGTTGCAAGGCACAATCCATGCACAGGTCGCTAAAGGAAAAGAGACAAATGCCAGTTAAATTAATGCTTTAAAAGGTCAAACTCTACCTGCTGGCTAAGTCTGAAATGTTAACAAGTCTGTTGGAGAAAGTGTACATATCATGCAATCATGCATAGTTTGGAAAATAACATGAAGATAATTTATAAATAAAAATTAAATCTCCCTCCTATTTTTGATCCTCCATCTTTCTCCTCTGTGGATTAAATAAAAGCTCATCTTTCTCAAGAAAATCTATATGTACAAATTACACAAACACACACATGTTTGTGTGTGCTATGTGTGTGTGTATGTTTAGGGATATATGCTATTTATCCCCTATCAGTTAGTCATTTATCCCAGTAATATTTACTTCTTCCATCACAGATGTGACCTTATTATATGATAACATGTGACTAATTATGACTAATAAATGCTTTTAGTATATATTAGATTTTCAGTTTATTTTAATTTTTCTCTCATATAGTACATTCTGACTGCAGTTTACCCTCCCTCCATCCCTCCCAGTCCCTTCCCCAATCTTTCCTCTCCCCTAGAACCAATGCTCCTCCATTTCCCTTCCAAAAAAAACTAAAAGCCAAAAACCAAAACGAAAAAAGCAGGTCTCCTAGGGCTATCAACTGAACAAGGCCTAAGAAGTTAAAATAAGACTAGGCAAAAACCCTCATATCAAGACTGGGCAAGGCAAGCGAGAGTTTCTCTGTCTAACAGCCCTGGCTGGCCTCAAACTCAGAGATCGGCCTGTTCTGCTTCCCAAGTGCTGGAATTAAAGGCATGCACCATGATTACACAGTTAGATTTTCAGTTTGTTTCTTTTTTTTTAAAGATTCATTCATTCATTTATTGCGCATACAGTGTTCTGCCTGTATGTCTGCCTGAAGGCCCGAAGAGGGTACTAGATCTCATTACAGATGGTTGTGAACCACTATATGGTTGTAGGGAATTGAACTCAGGACCTCTGAAGAGCAGCCAGTGCCCTTAATCATTGAACCATCTCTAGCCCCTAGATTTTCAGTTTTTAAAAACATTTTGTGTGGGAGGGGAGAGAAAGGGAGGGAAGCAGAGAAAAATGTATAGCTCAATAAAAAAAAATTAAGCAAAAATGTTTTGTGTATATGTACTGTGTGCGGCACTTGCAGAGGCCAGAAGAAGGCATTGGATCCCCTGGAACTAGAGTTACATATGTTTATGAGCTTCCATGTGGGAGCTGGAAATTGGACCTGGACCCTTTAGAGCTCCAGCCCTTCTAGCTTTTCTTTATAGAAGCATGACACACTTCTTGGCTGCATTCTTAGGTTTCTGCTTGTTTCCCAAGCCAATATAAAAAGTACTTTCAAATGGATCTACAAACAGGTTGGTACTTATGCACAGAGCAAGAAGAGGAGCTGGATTATGTGATAAATCTAAGTAGTAGCAACAAGTGTCTTTGTCTTGTCCCCACCATCTTAGAATGCTTCCATCATGTCGCCATTAAAAAGATGCTAGTTAGTGTGTGGTCACATCTACAGTGACTTGTGAAGCTGAGGCAGAGCATCTTGGGCTCTACAGCAAGACCGCATCTCAAAAACAAACATAATTTTCAAAAGAAAGAAGAAATAAAGAAAAATGTTAGACGTTGCTCAGTGGTATAGCACCTGCCCAGCACGTGTGAGGGTCCGAGTTCTAGCCTTGCACTGCCCAAACATTAACATTAAAAGGTGCTAAATTAGCATTTAGACAAAAAAACATATTTCAGATTATCTAAGAAAATTTTTATCTATTCTTAACTTATTAATTTTTTTGATTTACTTATTTTTTTTGAGTGTTTCACTTGTATGTCCATATTTCTGTGTACCACTGGTTGATATGGGAGTGTCATATATCAATCTGTTGATTTCATTGGTTAAGCAATAAAGAAACTGTTTGGCCCTCATAAGTTAAAACATAGGTGGGAGGAGCAAACAGAACAGAATGCTGGGAGGAAGAGGAAGTGAGCTCAGATTCGACAGCTGCTCCCCTCTCCTGGGCAGATGCAGGGATAGCTCTGCTCTCTGAGACACACGCGATGAAGCTCCGACCCAGGATGGACTAGGCTAGAATTGTCGTGGTAAGCGCACCTTGTGGGCTACACAGATTATAAGAAATGGGCTAGTCCAGGTGCGAGATTTAGCCGAGAAGAGGCTAGATAGAAATGGGCCAAGCAGTGTTTAAATGAATACAGTTTGTGTGTTGTTATTTCGGGCATAAGCTAGCAGGCAGCCGGGGTGCTGGGGAAGCAGCCCCGCTGCTCCTATTACAACAACTGGTACCCTCAGAGGTCAGACGGCATGGGATCTTCTGGAACTGTAGGTGGTTGTAAGCCACCATGTATTTTCTTTTTTGATTTTTAGTGTGTTTGCCCTGAAGATTTTGTAAAAATAGTAGTAGATTTATTTTACCTGTGATTGAGAGAAGTTTAAATAGATTTGAACTACTCTGCCCTGAAAATTATAAAAAACTATCCAGGTTTAGTGCCTTTGGGAGGAAGGTAAAGGCCGACTCCATAACCACACCATTTGCTACAACAAGAGGAGTGATTTCATTTTCAGCCTCTTCTAGGTCTCGTCATTTATTTTATCCTGATTTCTTTTCTTTACCATCGCCCTCAAAAAACTCTAAGATATAGTATTCTAGTAACTCTTTTAAATTTCTTACCAACTCTGTTGTAGAAGCTATGACCACATATTCAGGGTAATTAGTTCTAAGTCTTTACACACTAGTCCTCATCAATGAGTCCTTAGTTGTGTTTAATCCCAGTGCTTGGGAGGCAGAAACAGGCAGGTCTCTGAGTTCGAGGCCAGCCTGGTCTACAAGAGCTAGCTCCAGGACAGACTCCAAAACGACAGAGAAACCCTGTCTCAAAAACTGAAACAAAAAAAACTGTGTTTACTGTGCGGTGGTGGCTCATGCCTTTAATCCCAGCACTCGGGAGGCAGAGGCAGGCAGGTCTCTGTGAGTTTGAGGCCAGCCTGGTTTACAAGAACTAGTTGCAGGACAGGCTCCAAAGCTACAGAAAAACCCTGCCTCGAAAAACCAAAACCAAACCAAACCAAACCAAAATAACAACAACAACAAAAAAAACAAAAAAAAACAAACAAAAAAAAACATAGGAAGGGTCAAAGAAAGGGCTCACAGATGAAGATCAGATCCTTCTATTTGGAAACAAAGATGGAAAAGGGTATCAGACCTTTAAATTCTGTATCTGCCTGTAAGGCCCTAATAACTAAATCCTGCAAAGGTGTTCAATCTTAGAAATTCTGGGCAACAGCAGAGAAACTTCATAGCTAAGGGTGAAAAGAAACACAGTGCATACATTCTAACAGCCTATTAGGTAACAACATGCTTCAGAAGACCCTGGTCAACGATCCAGGCTGAGTTACTCCTGTGACGGCAAACTGTGGTCCTTAATTCTAGGGTCAAGACATCCAGGCAATAAGGTTACTACAGATTTGTCAAAAACACCAGGTATCGAATTGTGATGGACACAAGAAGCATGTATTGTCAGCATGAGTGCTGCCTACAGGCTGAGTATACTACTCACATCTTCCTAATATTAGTCAGGATGACCTTTTCAGAAAAGACCGCTCATTTGTTGCTCTGGTGATGCTAAGACACTGTCCTACAGGATCCAGGTGTCTTGGAAATTCTTTTTATAGAGCTGATTGGCTAAGCTGGCATGGGAGCTGCACTTTTTAATGGCTAGGAGTGTAAAAAGCTGGTGAGGAAGTAACCTCTAAGTGATGTCCCAAGAAGCTCATAGACAACATTACCCTTTCACATTTTGTAAAGCCAAAATTACATAAAAAACTTAAACCAGGTTTAGTAGCAGATGCCTTTAATCCCAGGATTTGGATTAGGGATTAGGCAGGTGGATCTCTGTGAGTTCAAGGTCAGCCTGGTCTATAAAGCAAGTTCCAGGACAGCCAAAGCTACACAAAGAAACCCTGTCTTGAACACCCCTCTCCCTCGCCACCCAATCTATTTGTGTGTGTGTTTATCTGAATAACTTTCATATCAAATAGCTTGTCCTTGGCAATTTAATTCCTCGCTCAGTTCACTATAGTCCTGATAATCTAAGAACCCTGGAGAACAGCTATGGATTTGCTAAAACCCCAGAAGTCACTCAAGAGCCGTATGAAATGTTGCTGAATGTGATGTGTGAAAGATCCATGAAGCACCTCCTCTCACCTGTGTCCACACGGCTTCAGCTGTGTGTCTGCTACCTCATCACAACAGAGTGAACAGCAGTTCTCTCGAATACTGACTTGTTTCAGCAGAGCAAGGCGCCTGTGCCTGAGCAGATAAAGCAATAGGAAATTCATTTTGTTAACAAGGAGTCAGCATGGGCCACATGAAATGCTCACAAAAAGCCTTACCCAGGGAAAATATACTCCACAATTTTTATTCAGTAAAGTTTTCACACATCTCAGCCTTAGTAGAGTGAAGGAGGCTAGAGCGTCATTTTACAGGTAAAAAAATTAAAGTTATATGAGATGATTTACATAAAACTTAATAAACAGAAATCAAATTTGGCTGGGCAGTAGAGGCACACACCTTTAATCCCAGCACTCGGAGGTAGAGGCAGGTAGTGAGTGGCCTCAGTGTGTTCGAGGCCACTCTGGTCTACAAGACCTAGGACTATAACACACAGAGAAACCTTGTCTTGAAAAACAAAACCAAACCAAACCAAATTCAAATCCTTTGGTCTAAGTCCAGTGTTCTTTTACCAGCAAATTTCAATGGTTTAAGTAACATATATTGAAACTTTGGTGAAAAGCACACACCTTTCCCAGGGAAAACACCCACAGTTTTCGCACAAGGGATTTATGACATGTAAACTCCCTGCAAGTTTAGACACCTTAGATTTGAACTCCTCCAGTACACTTCCATTCAGCATGGACAGGAAAGCAGACAGGAAGAACTACTCTCCTCAAGCTCACTTATGGGCTTGCTATGTGCCTGTCACTAACCCAAATCATGACAATTCAGCGCAGCAGTGAGCAGGAGATCAAATAAGTATCCTTAGCTAGGCATGGTGGCACACAGCTAGAATCAGCATTTGGGAAGCCTGGGCTCTAGAGCATATAGGGTGAAAAAAATAGCAACCACAAATACAAAAAGAAGTAACTGTTTCTATGGAGCCCATGCTCTAGATTGGCAGTGGGGGAGACAACTAAAAACTATGTTAAATGCTGATGAATAGCATGACAGAAAATAAACTGGGAAAAGGGAAAAAGAATGCTTACAGGTCTGAGAGACATAGGGGTTAGAATGGCAATCAAGGAGGGCCTCATGAAGCAAATCTTAGTAGACATGTGAGGGCATGGGGGAAACGAGCCTTATCTGAACAGTGAGTAGTGACAGAAGCTGGAATGGAGATGGGGTTACTAATAGATGATGTGGGAAGAGCACAGGAAAAGCAAGGGCTTCACTATGCGATTCTTTTACTATTTTGTATGTATTTAAATTTAGCATAATCAAGAGGTTAATAAAATACACGAGAATAGAGAATAAACATAATATAAACAACAAAATTCCAGGTGGTAGTTGCAATCCTCCTATTTCAACTTCTGTAGTAGCTCGGAGTATAGGTCTGCACGACAAAGCCTGTGTCAAAAACTTTGTGTCATTATCAGAGACAACAAAGTCTAGATTCAGAATGAAACTGACCTAACTTGTAACCTGTTGTTCTTATTCAAGATAGGAGAAACTCTGAGTGTTATATGAATATTCAGTTGCCAAGCTGATAAGCATAAACTGGCCATAAAAGATGACTTTCCACCCCTATTCTGGGAAGTTTAGCCCTGAAGAAGCAGGGGAACTCATAGATGGATCAGCTGTGCCCTTCAGGTGAATGATGAATCTCATTCCAGGAAAAGCAGGCAAACAAAGGACTGAGGTATGTCAGGAGGGAGGTGTCACCTCAGATTTTCACCGAGAGCAACAAAAGTTCACAATCTCTGTAGCATCAAGACAAATTGCACAGAAGCTCTAAGGGACAAAAACCTCAGATGCCTGAATACACTAAGTGGTCTTTGTGTTCTTAGAGTACTGCCAAGGCTTTGCTGCCCCTACTGAGACATGTTCTATTCACCTGAAACTGCTGGGTCACTGAGATGTGGTGTAAGGTAAAGAAAGAGGCTGCTTACAGCTATGTTGTGCTTCAAAACAGAAGACAGGATTTCACTGCATTACAGCTACATTTATGGTTATTGCATATGGTTTAACACAAGCTATGTCCTGGCCAGTATAGTCTCCTTGACTGCTGAGAGACTATCTTATTGATATAACACTAGTAATAACGAGTCCCCTGCCTCATACTGACCCAGATAGCTGCCCTGTTTAAAAAAAATGATAAACTTTGGCTCACACTGTGTAACAGGCTTCAATAAGCAGTAATTACCAGGAAGCAGCTGGACTATCTCCCTAGCTGAAGGAACAGACTACAATCATTTTTTTTTAAATTTATTTATTATGTATACATATTCTGTCTGCGTGTATGCCTGCAGGCCAGAAGAGGGCACCAGACCTCATTACAGATGGTTGTGAGCCACCATGTGGTTGCTGGGAATTGAACTCAGGACCTTTGGAAGAGCAGGCAATGCTCTTAACCACTGAGCCATCTCTCCAGCCCTGGACTACAATAATTTTATAAGGAAGATAAGCAGGCATTCATTCAGGAGATAAGGCCAATGTCAGTTTCTGTCAAATAAGGGCAATGTTACCTCAGACGGCTTTTTGTGTGCTCATGGCTGTAGAACAGCATTGGCATGTTTGTTATGCAGTTTACACTCCAAGAAGTGGCTTTCAATAAATCAAGTCTGTTAATAGATGTACTGATTTTCCAATATTAAGGATTTTTATACAGATATTCCAGTGAAGTTAGTTGGCATTTTTGTGTATGTGTGTGAATGTGTTCTATTTTTCTGATTTTTATTTTATTTATTCTTTTTTTTTTCTTTTTGAGATAGGCTCTCTCTTTTCTGAGACCATGGTAGCTTCAACCTCACAATGATTTTCATACCTCTGCCTCTCCAGTGGTGAGATTAAAAGTAGGAGCCACCATACCGTAAGTCCTTTTCTGACTTTTACATCAACATTATTTAGCTCATAAAAAGAATGTGGACATGTTCCTTCTTTTTCTTTGGGCTCTATAATACTTTAAATCAGTGGTTTTCAACCTTCCTAAAGCTTGACCCTTTAACACAGTTCATGTTGTGATGACCCTCAACTATAAAATTATTTTCAATGCTACTTCATACCTGTAATTTTGCTATTGTTATGAACTGTCATGCAAATACCTATGTTTTATGGGTGTTAGGTTACCCCTATAAAAGGATCATTTGATGCCCAGATTGAGAACCGCTGCTTTAAATAATAATGAAGCTATCATTTACAGTTTGATAGTGAGAGCTCTTGTGAAACCACCTGCTTTTGTCAGACAAAGCTTTTAATTTTTGTTTTCAAATAAATTTTACACTACCTTCTGGTCAGTACTTGTTTATATGTAACTTCCTAGGATCTGTTTTACTAATCTATGTTTCTCAGAAAGTTAACCTTTTCAGTGAGATTATTTGTTCAAAGTTACTTGTTCAATGCTGAAAAAAAATCTCCCATAAGTTGTTATGATTTTCCTTGAGAAGCACAAGACAGTCTGGAAAGAGCCTGGGCAGACTCTTACCTTGGCAAAATGATCTTTTCTTCAGCTGTTAGGAAGGCGTAATCATTAAAAGTGCTAAATTTCATAGATGGTGGGTATTTGAATGGTTTTGCTCCAAAATTGAACTCACATTGTTGATATGACATGAAACTAGCTGCAGCAAAAAATCCAGATCTACAAATAAAAATGAGCACAGAGGTCAACAGAATTCATAAGACCAAGTTCATATACAGAGTCACTCTGAGAAAGTCAGAGTGAGTCAGTCATTCTGGGAGAAGGGAAGCAGGACAGCCCTGTGAGCCAGGGGAGACACCTTTATCTTTCTGTATCAAACTCTTGGACATGGAGGACATATCAAATGGAGCTCTAAATAATTAAAAAAAATCCATTTCTCATAATTGCTTAGATAAATGAACAAAGGTTTTTTTTTGGTTTTTTTTTTTTTATTCTTGAGAAAAGTACATTCCATGAATCTACTCAATCTTTGACTGAAAAGAGCTACTTACACGGTGGATGAAAAGACTTGCTTCTCAGGAGGCAGCTGGTTGCCATTTAGAAAGAAGATCATTTGCTTTTCATTCAAGTCTAACAGAAACCCTACTGTGTCGCCTGGAAGATAAACCAAACACTGTTAGGCTTGTGCTACCCAGATCCTTCAAGAGCCTCAATGGCCCTGTACTAAGCTGCCATATTCAACATGCTTATCTTTGTTTCCTGTGCTTCCACTAAACCATGACAAGCCATCAACTGTATAAGATGCATCCCAATTTCAAGAGGCTAAAAAGTGAAAAAAATGTACATGCTGGGTAAGATAAAATTATGTGCTGATTTGTCTCTCGGGCGAGATTTAAAATGCCCTAGATAACAACTACAAAACATGTCTTTGTTTTGAAGCATACATTCTTTTAAAGTGAGCTCTCATTTTTTGTTCTAGTTTATAATAAAATCCTGAAAGCATTAAACATTATTTTATTGTTTGTTTTTGGTTTTTCTGAGATAGGATCTTTATATGTGGCCTTATCTAGTCTCAAACTGGCTATGTAGCCTAAGATGGTCTCAAATGTGAAATCCTCCTGCTTCAGCCTCCTGAATGTTAAGATTATAGGTACATCCCACCATGATAAGCCAATCATGCTTTGTGTTCTTCTGGCCTTGAATTTGGTATGTAGCTGAGAATAATCTTGAGCTTTTGATTCTATTGCCTCTATCTCATGAGTCCTGGGGATTACTGGTTATACCTCTGTACCCAGATATCTCAGTGCTAGAGACTGAACCTAGGGCTTCCATGGATCATAGAAAGTATTAGATTCTCCTGGAGCTGGAGTTACAGGCAGGGTGCTGGAAATGATCTCGGATCCTCTGGAAAAGCAGCACATGTTTCTACATGTGAGCCATTTCTACAGCTCCTAAGAATTTAATATTCTGAAATGGTTTTGCTTCAGAAGGGTTGCCACAACAGGTAAAGTCTATAAGAGAATACCTTTCACAGTCATGACAGTGATACTGACTCTAAGTCTCCTATGAAGATATTTAAAGCCTACCACAGTGAATGCCTGCTGAAAACTAGCTGTCCTAACCCAGGTGACAAATTCAAGGTGAAGAATGAATACCTTCCTTCCAGCACGGGTGCAAATGAGGCTTGCTTCTGGCATTGTACCAAATCAGCTGCCGGCAGCCATCATAGGCACAGGAATACTCATCGTCCCCAATGCCGTATCCTTCCTGAAGAGAGACAAGGCTCAGAACATTAACAAGACTCTACCTAGTCTAACATGGGGAGACCTAGTAGGTAGCATCCTAAGCTTTTCTGGATGAAGAGAAAGCCTATGGTACCTGGAAGATATCAAATTAACAGAGAAGCCTAGTTCCAAGTAAACAAATACCAGTTCCACCAACACAGATCGGCCCAGTGCTTCCTTTGCTGCAGGCACTCTCACACCTGTAGTCAGGTTAGTTCTTAGACCATTCCTGAAAAAGGAAACAGCCTCCTGAAGGGTAGTCAGCTTCCTTGTAGACTAGTTCTAAGAAAAGCAAATTTTAGTTTGAATTTAAACTTACAAGATCTGTAGACTTGCTACTTGTCTGTGGCCAAGCGAACTTTCCTGAATGTGGTAGATTCAAAAAATGCCCACATCTTTAGATTTTATGAATGTAAAATAATGAGTACTTAGCTCAAAACTATTTTGATAACAGTCCGATTTGAAAATTTTAAAGGTTCTCAACAATCAATTTCTTTTATTACTTGCTACCTCCCCCCCCCCGCCGGGTTTCTCTGTAGCTTTGGAGCCTGTCCTGGAACTTGCTCTGCAGACCAGGCTGGCCTCAAACTCACAGAGATCCACCTGCCTCTGCCTCCAAGTGATGGGATTAAAGGTTTGTGCCACCACTGCCAGGCTTTGCTTGTTACCTTTCAATTATTGCCCAGAATTAATATATAAGGGTGAATGGGAGCAGGCACACCTATAAATACCAGGACTTAGGAGGCAGAGGCAGGGCTAGGAGGGTTCATGAGACCTTGTCACACAAATGAAAAGGGTGAGTGAGATCTTTATTTTTATTATTATTATTATTTTAACTTTTATTTATTCTTTGTCGATTTTACATCATGCACCTGATCCTATTTATCTCCCATCCCCTTGCATCTACCCTTTGCCCTTGCAATCTCACCACTAAAAACAAAGCAAAATTTAAAACCAAAAACCAAATCAAACGAAACCAAACAAGACAAAAAGAGTACCATTGTGGTAGCTGTCATATTCCTCTGTGAGTCACAGCTGACCCTTTAGCCCATTCATCTTTACTTGTAAGAGTTCATTGCTAATAGTCATTGGTCTGGTTCCAGGCCTCTGGCTTCTGCTAGATTACTGATAATGGGCCTCTCACTGGGGCTCCTCTTGGATATCCTGCTGACTCTGATACCTGCCCTCATTTTACCCCTTCTGGGAGAGAAGGCCCTCACCTCATTTGCACAAGTGTGCTGCCCAGAAGTGGTTGTGAGTGAGATCTTGTTTTCAGTGCTTGCCCATAAACAAACAAACAAGAAAAATAAACAGGGACAGGGAGATAGTTCAGTGAATAAAGGTACTGGTTGTCAAGCCTGGCAACTTGAGTTTGCTCTCTGGAACCTAAAATGTGAGGAGAGAACAGTCTCCAGGAAGTTGTCCTCCAACCTTCACATGCATGTCATGGAGCATGCATAATGCTCCTGTCTAAATAAATAAGTCAATTATAACAAAAATATACTTTAAAAATTCATTTTTATTTGTGTATGTGTGTATATATGCATGTATGTATGCATGCATGCATGCATACCTGTAGAGGTCAGAAGGGGGCCTCAGATTCCCTGCATATAGTTGGTTATAGGCTACCTAACATGGGTGCTAGGAACCAAACTTCAGTCCACATAAGAACAGTTTTCAAAGAGAAGAAATAATTAGAAATAGAAGTATGAAAGAAGTGGAGGAGACAGAAGCAAGTCAAACAACTGTCATCCTTAAGCACCAATGGTGAGGAACAGAGTTAAAGGGAATGAAACATGATTAAACACAAACCTCAGTTCCCGCTAGCCTGTTTGTTCTATGTGATAAAGAGTATAGTCAGAATATAGACAGGAGAGAGTTCTGACAAACTGCCTAACTATAATATAATGAATATCTGAATTAGAATTAGTACTTGATGTGCACTATGCAGAACATTGAAAAGTTAAGTAGCCCGGTGTGGTGGTGTCTTTAATCCCGGTACTCATAAAAAAAGTTAAGCTGGATACACGCTTTTAATCCCATCACTTGGGAGATGAAGGCAGGTGGTTCTTTGAGAGTTCAAGGCCAGCCTGGTCTACAGAATGAGTTCTAGGACAGGCTCCAAAGCTACATAGAGAAACCCCCTCGAAAAACCAAAAACAAATAAACAAATAAATGAAAAGTTAGATGAACTTGACCTAATTGTTTTGCAGAGCAGAAATTCAGCATGCTACAAGCAACCACTTGCTAACCCTTCCTGAGATGCAACAAATCAGTAAGTAAAAATCTACACACTGAGCAAGAAAGAGGCCCGGGGAACTTAAACCTCAGCTCCAAAAAAAAAAAATCAACCGAAACAAAACAAACAAAACCACTAAATTTGAGTGCTGGAAACAGGCAAATGAAAACAATTTCGCTACCTTTATTTTTTTTTTTTAAGCGCGCGCGCGTGTGTGTGTGTGTGTGTGTGTGTGTGTGTGTGTGTGTTGGTTCTCACTTTCCATCAAGTGGGTTCCGGGACTGAACTCAAATCTTTAGAACTGGCAGCAAGAGCCATCTCACTGGCCCCATCCATCTTTACTTTCTATGACCTAGGAAGTCTTTGACAGAACATTTGATCAAGCCTGGCAAGATCCTCTGGGTGAAGCTACAGGACAAGGGGAAACTCTGATTCAATTTTAGTCATCTATCAACTTATGCAGAGCTAAGAAGTAGATGTTAATGAACTTACATCTTAGAGTAAGTTCTTTCATCTTAAAAACATTTCTAGTAGGATTAACATTGGTTTTCATTGGCAATGTTAGATCCCTAGGAGAATAGGGTAGCTAGCTTGATATTCTGGTATTCTTAAATTTCTTGTTTCTTAGTCATGTATATTATAGCAATAGAAGCAATTAAAAAAATGTTTATTATCGCTTATCACTGATGGAATAGTATGAATCCTTCCCACTATAAGAGGAAAGCCATTTTTTTTCCTGTTATGAAACATCCCTAAACCTTTCTATTATTCAGCATCTTAGGAGATAGTGTCCTGATTCTTGCTCTGCAAGCAGACTAAGATTCACTAGGCTCTGGCAGGTCCTTCCCATCAGACTCCCTCCATTACCCCAGGGGGATGGGTAGGGCTTATTTGTGACAACAGTGTTGCTGCATTCTAGACAGATCAGCCTCCCCTAATACTAACCGTTTAACTTCCCTTTTCTAGATTTCGGCATTGCCCCCCAGTCTATTTTCTACTATTTTAGAGTCTGGAAGCTCCCAACAGGCTTCCAAGTCATTGCTTTTCCTTTTTCTTTCCTCCCACCTCTCTCTGAGACAGGGTTTCTCTGTGTGGCCCTGACTGTCCTGGAACTGACTCTGTAGACCAGGCTGGCCTGAAACTCAGAGATCCGCCTGCCTCTGTCTTCTGAGTGCTGGGATTACAGGCGTGCGCCATCATGGTTTTTCTTCATTTTTAAATCGGAGAGTGTGTGAAAGACTTATCCTGTTGGATGCTCATAAGAAGGAAAAAGATATTTTAGATAAATCAAACTGTACTGTTAGTCCTCAAAATGCTCCATCAAAAATAACACAAAACAAGACAAACTATCCTGTAGGTGTCCAAAGAACTATCCTAAAGTTTCTCATTTTAATGTTCCATATCTGAGCCCAATACTTTATTTGCTTGAGACTGAAACCCATGCAGAAGAGTTACAATAAAGGTGCTATAAAGACCTCAAATCTTTATAAACAGGTGTTAGCTGCACAATAATTTATTGCCATAAAACTGCAGGCTGTCTATACAAGTGAAAAGATGAATGATCATCAGAATAATGTCATGGTAACAAAAAGCTTACATTTGAAAAAAGACTTTCTGTCTGACTTCAACAGATTTCTAACTGGGATCCTAGCTGAGTTAGTTCTTGGATCAGGAAAAATAATTGTTGCTTTAAAAAAAAAGTCAAAATTGTGGCTCAGAGGTTAAAAGCATTCTTTCTCTTGCAGAGGATCTGAGTTTGGTTTCTAGCAACCATGTTGGATGACTCACAACTGACTTTAACTCTAGCTGCAGGAGGTCTGATGTCTTCCTCTGGCCTCCAAATACACAAGCATGAGTGTGCATTCACATACACACACACGGGGGGGGGTGTTGAATCTAAAAAGCCAAAAGCCTGTTACAAAGTAGAGGGCAAGAAACTAAAAATTTTTAGTCTTAATTTGAGGTGTCAAGTATCTACACCTCTAGGACAGAAACAGTTTTAGCCACAAGCTTTACTGATCATTAAAAAAAAATAAGTGTTGTTAGTATGACTACTAGAAAATTCCAATAGAAAAATATGTAGAAAAGGTACCTTTATTTAGCGGATAATGAGGACTATTGAGAATCCCTGATTTCTTTATTTCTGGCCTGCTTTATCACTTTCAAATGAGAAGACAGGACAATCCTTGCAGATTCTCCTCATTTTTAGAAAGAAAGTAAAAATCTGTTGTAAAATAGGAATTAGTCCTAGTCTTTTTCTTTTATTGGCTTTTTGAGACAAAGTTTCTCTATGTTACATTCCTGGCTGTGCTAGAACTTGCTTTTTAGAGACCAGGCTGGCCTCGAACTCAGAGATCCGCCTGCCTCTGCCTCCCGAGTGCTGGGATTAAAGGTGTGTGCCACAACTGCCTGGCAGTGGTCTTATTCTTTATTTCCTTTTCTCAGTTCCAATTTTTCTCATTTTTGAAATGGAAACTGTGAAAAGAAAACAAAAAAGATATCTAAAAAAAGGTGGAGGAGGTTGTAGAAATCAGACGACAAGACTAAAGACACTGACTTTCTGAGACAGGGTCTTGTTAGGCTGGGAGACTTGGATTGGCATGCCAGCTCAAAATTAGTGCTGTATTGTTTGTTTTATCTTTCTTTCTTTGGAGCCTGTCCTGGCACTTGCTTTGTAGACAAGACTGGCCTCGAACTCACAGAGATCCACCTGCCTCTGTCTCCTAAATGCTAGGATTTAAGGCCTGTGCCACTACTGCCCACCCATTGTTTGTTTTTTCAAGACAGGGTTTCTCTGTGTAGCCCTGGCTGTCTTGGAACTCACTCTGTAGACTAAACTGGTCTTAAACTCAGAGACCCGCCTGTCTCTGCCAGTGCTGGGATTAATGGCATGAGCCACCACATATGGCTCAAGATTATTTTTCAACGTTAAAAAAGAAAGCTACTTTTAGGACATTTATTTGGAACAGGCAACCAGTATCCATATATTTGACAAACTGATGTTAGAAACTAGACAATGTGTTGGGGAATATTATTTTCAGGTATGTGACTTTTATTTAGGCTGCATTTATTTAACTTTGTGAAGTTGTGTTACTGTGCCTTTCTAAAACACCTGATGGTCCTAATAAAGAGATGAATGGTTAATAGAGAGGCAGGAGCAAGGATAGGCGGGACTGGCAGGCAGAGAGAATAAATAGGAGGAATCTGAAAGGACAGAGAACAAGGAGAGGAGGACACCAGGAGGCAACCACCCAGCTACACTGCCAGCCACAGAGCAAGAAGGAAAGTAAGATATACAGAGAGAGAGAGAGAGAGAGAGAGAGAGAGAGAGAGAAGGAGGCCAGAGGCAAAAAGTGGTTGGGATAATTTAAGAAAAGCTGGCAAGAAACAAGCCAAGCTAAGGCAGGGCATTCATAACTAAGAATAAGCCTCCGTATGTAATTTACTTGGGAGCTGAGAGGTACTCAAAAAGCCAAAAGAGTAAAAATCATCACACAACAATAGAATTATTTTTCAGACCTAGGAACTTTTGACTACACAGCAGCTCAAAAAAATCCCAGGTTTTCAAATATGACAGGTTCCCAAATAAACAGCAGCAGACTGCAGTCCACATAATGCAAGAGTCCAGCTAACCCCGCCTTGCCCATTAGCCCTCTTCTTACAACTATTTTCTTTCTAGTCCAGGAGTTTTACAAAATAATCTTGGACAAAGCTGAATTGATTTCAAATAACCTTTTTTCCCCCTACACTTAATTCACTTTATCTTTCTGGTACAAAAACTCAAGTCCTCTGAATGCAGACTCTGGTATGCATTTTCACAAGATGGCCAGTGAATTTCTGATAAGGAGACTTGATGAAATCAGGGGTTGGTTAGCTATGAGATGGCATCAAAGGTGGCAAAGTTGCCCAGGGGGGCAGTACAGCCCCTGGCTGATGTGCAGCTGTTATCAAAACAGGCTGTCAGTAGCAGCTTCTTGGACACAGGAGCAGATAGAATGCCAGTGCCTCTGCCCCAGATGAGGCACACCAGCACAGAGCCACAGTGGCCTACCATCTTGTGTGGGATGATGTGGGGCTTGATGATCTTGTAGCATCTCCATATAGGATAATGGAAAGCTTGGCTAAGGTGATGGCCCCTTGGAGGGCAACGGTGACCTGTTTGGAGCATTTAACATCAAGACCAACATGGCCATTGTAATCCCCAATACCAACAAAAGCCTTGAACTTGGTCCACTGACCAGCAGCGTCTGCTTCTGTCTTTTAGAACCTCATCCTTTAGGGATACACCCAGAAAAAATAATCTTGGATTTCTTAGTGGGCATGGAGAATAGGCAGATCTCCTCCAGGGACTAGATGTTCATGTCCTTAACCAGGCACTGGCCCAGCCTGGTGACAGGGATCCACTCCTTGTCTTTGGCTTTACCTTCACAAGCCTTGCAGTGTTGACCATGACTCAACCTAGCTAGGCCTCCCAAGGACTGAGGACCCTTCCTGCTGCACCAGCATCACCCGTCATCCATGTTTTCTCCAAAAAGAAAGCTCATATATCATAAAAGTTGACTAACAGTAGAAATTCAGTTGGGTTAGGTGTTGAAGGGTATGTCTAGTCAGGTGTGGTGGTGTAGGCCTATATCCCTGCACTTGGGAGGCTGAAGGAAGAGGAGCACAGTGAGTTTCAGGTTTGGGCCATATAATGATATAGGTTAGCAAGACCTTATTTCCAAAAGGAAAAGTATTCACCTGAAGGACCCATGACACTCCCACATCAGTGGTATCCCAGGCCTGCTTACTATAGAAGATTTAGACTTCCCTTTACTTCAGTACTTTCTAAAACAAAAGATAAATAAATATTGAAAATAAATGTGCCTATTAATTACAAGGTAAAAAATCAAATAAGAAGTTAGCCAATATTTAATGCTATGGAAAGAGAATTTATACATGGTTCTCTTTTTCCTTTGAGACAGGACCCAGGACCTCCGCTCCCCGAGACAAGGTTTCTCTGCTTAACAGTTCTGGCACCTCTGGAACTCACTCTGTAGACTATGTTGGTCTTGCACTCAATAGAGGTTGCCTGCCTGTACCTTCCAAGTGCTGGGATTTAAAGCGTGTACCACCACCACCCAGCTAAAGATTTTTTTTTGTTTTGTTTTCTCTTTCGGTTTTTTTGAAACGGTTTCTACATATATTTTGATTGTCCTGGAACTCATTCTGTAGATCAGACTGGCCTCAATTCAGAGATTAACCTGCCTCTGTCTCCTGAGTACTGGGATTAAAGGCATGCACCAACACTGCCCAGACAAAGATTCCTTTATTTAAAGATGCATTTTTATTTTTTTATTATGTGTATGTTAGCGTGTGTGTGCAATATGTATGTGGGCACCCAAAGAGGCCAGAAAGGGTTGCTGGATCTCCTGAAGCTGGATTTACAAATGGTTGTTAGTATCTTCACGTGGGTACTAGGAACCAAATTCAGGTCCTCTGGGATGAGCAGAAAGCACTCTTAACTACTGAATCATCTCTCTGGCAACCTTATAAGGTTTCCAAACCCTACAAGGTTTCCAAAATTTAATCTCAAGGTAAAAATCATCCATTGCCAACCAGGCTGTGGTGGTGTACACTTTTACAACCACCAGGACTCAGAAGGCAGAGGCAGGTGGATTTCTGAGTTTAAGGTCAGCAAGTTCCAGGACAGTCAGGGCTATACAGAGAAACACCATCTCGAAAATAACAAAAAACAAAATGGAATAATAGATGTCCCCTGTTACAGTTCGATAACTGGGCCCCAAATATGGCTGGGACTACAGGAGAGCCATAAAGACATATTTCTAGTTGAGTGGTGGTGGCGCATGCCTTTAATTCCGGCACTCGGGAGAAAGAGGCATGCTGATCTCTGTGAGTTTGAGGCTAGCCTGGTCTACAAAACGAGTTCCAGGCTGTTACACAGAGAAACCCTGTCTTGAAAAACAGAAACAAGACCAAACAAACAAGCAAAAAAAGAGAAAAGCCCAGAGGCTGAGAGGCATCTCCACTTGTTTCCTAGTTCTACATCAGCACAGCAAGCCTCTGTTAGGAGTCTGGCACCACTTAGCTATTGAGCAAACCTGTCTGAAGATAAACATATCCACCTGTCCACTGGAAAAGCAAGCTGCCGCTGTTTCATTTGCATTCCCCTGGTACTCACGTGGTTTAGAAACTTGCTGTCTCGAGTAGCCCAGCCAATCTGCATGACACCAGAAGTGATCACCGTTACTTCGTAGTACCACACCCCAGTGTCCACACAAAAAGTGCAGCGGACACTCTCAAAGGAGGAGGCATCACAGCGAGCCTGGCAGAACCAAGGAGAACAAATCAATCCATCAGTAACTGAAAGACGGGACAGAGTTTTCCTTATCAATGCTCTCCACTGTCCATCTTCAGTAATTTTAAAAAGCATCAAACTGAGTGACTTCTAGGGTTTCAAAGATAGCTGCAGCTGCAAGTAGTTAAAGCTACTGTTTTGTTTTTCAGTACTTAGAGAGCTTCCTGAAGAATCAGCATCTTTATAGATGCAAACATTGTCTTCATCAGATGAAGAAGGAGAAAGGTAAAGACAGGGTATCTACATAGAATCCAAAGACAAAATGACAAAAGGGATTTGGCAACCACTGTTCAACTTGTACTTCAATTCTGAAATGCCTCGTCCTTGGTACTTTCCTGTATATAATCAGCTCTTCTATCACCTGCAGTATAAAATTGGCAATATTCAACACAAGAAAAGGAAGCACCAGGTCTAGCACAATTGGCTATGTGGGCATTTGCAGAAGGAGAGGCTTCTTTGGGAAACATCTGTCTTCATACTTTTAGTTGAATAAAATGACAAAGATTAAAAACAGATATAGAGCTAGTTCCAGGATAGGAACCAAAAGCTACGGAGAAACTCTGTCTTGAAAATCAAAACAAAACAAAACAAAAAAAAAAAAACAACAAAAAAACAGATATAGAGCTAAGAGAGATGGCTCAGCAGTTAAGATCACTGACCATGTGAGTCCCAGCACCCACATGGTGGCTCACAAACTTCTGAACTCCAGATCCAGGGCATCCGATGACTTCTGGAATCCACAGGCACCAGGCAGGGAAATGGTACATAGACATACATGCAGGCATAATATCCATATACATGAGATAAAATATTTTGAAGTGTTTAAAAACATATTTAGCTAGGGCTGTAACTCAGTAGTAGAACACTTACTTAGGAATTGAGTCCCACAACCAAACAGTTCAGACATATGTGAACCAGTCAACAAGCACTGTAGCGCTACAATGGATGCAGCTCTGTGGGCTGTAACTGAGTGAGAGGCATCCCAAAGCAATCTCTATCCCTACCACTTCTACCTCTAGCCACTCTTCAGATAGAAGAAAAGCCTCTACCTGTTCTGTTAACCATTGTTCTGAAGCAGGGCATAAGAAATGGGGGAAAGTAGTTTTGGCCCTCAAAAGGTCTGTGAAAGCGTTACCTCCAAGCCGTGAGGTGAGATCTTCAAGTACTCGCTGACATCATTGCTGTTCAGCATGGCCCTGATGTTTCTCAAGTCCACTTTCTCGTAGGTTAGTTGTCTACCTTCTTTTAAAACTGCAAAAGAAAAGGTGGTCATGTTTCCTAGGGCAGACTGTAATAGTTTGGAAGAAAGGGAAAACTGTCATCTCGAGTTGTCAAAGAGAGGAGAACTGGTCGGACCTAGCATCTTAGCTGTGCTGTTACATGAACTAATTAGCAAAGGCCAGAAAAGGTGGTACTGCAAGCGTGGTGTTTCCAGTCTCTGTACCTATAGACTGCATGAAACAAAATCCAAATTACAGGTCTCACTGTGTAGCCCTGACTGGCCTAGAACTTATAAACTGACAGAGATCTACCTGTCTCTATCTCCCAAGTGCAGGATTAAGTGTGTAATGCTCGGAATAGTGGCTTTTTGTTTTGTTTAGTTTTGTTTTTTAGAGGCAGGGTCTAATGTGGCTCAGGTTGGGTTTAAATTTACGATGTAGCTGAGGATGACTTTGAACTCATTTCTCCTGCCTTTGCCTCTCAAATGCTAACATTATAGCAATACAAACATTCCCATCTTCCAAATTGCATTTACTCAGAATTACCTTTAACTAGCACTATATAGACTGTACTCCATGTTAGAGCAAGAATTAGAGGTTATGTGCTAACAATAGAGACAGGCAATGGTACAGCAATTTGGTTTGTATTCTAGTAGCCTTTGGAGGAGAAAAAGTTAAAAAAAAAACTGCCACTGTATAAGAAAGAATTAATTTGGGTTTGAGGAGGCCACCTGAGATAAGGAGAAGAATACAAAGAAGGTAAAAGGGCTGGGGCTATAGTTCGGTGGCAGAAAGCTTTCCTAGCATGAATAGGTTCTAGAACCCATCCTTAGCATTAAATTGTTTTTTTGTTTCCTGGCCTCCCTGACTGGGCTGTTCTTCCCACCTTCCTGCCATGGTAAACTGAAATCTCTGAAACTATGAACGAAAATAAGTAATTCTTCCCATTAGGTGGTTCATATCACATATTCTATCACACGACAATAAAACACACACATGCACATATACAAAGAAAGACACAGAAGAAAGCACACGTGTGAACAGGCCCAGGGGTGGAGTTAGCTGGACCTAGTTGGTGGGCAGTGAGGAAAGTGTGTGCTGGCAAGTTCTTAGACAGAGCTATCTAATTAAGGCATCTGATTCAGCTGCTGTCAGAAAAGGTCTGTGACCCAGAGAGTGCTAAATGAGAAGCGTTCCACTTAACTCTCATCTGAAAGGTGCCTAGGATACTTCTCTATTAGAGTATATCCAACCTGCAGTAGAGACGCTTATTAAGAACTCCCACTCATTACAGCAAAAGGAAGGCTACTAATCCTACTGAAGACAGGGGTTTAGAAACGTAAACAAATTTTGACTGGTGAGATGGCCCAGCAGGCACAGGCAGTTGCTTGATGACATGGAACCCGCATGGTGGAAAAACAGAACCAACTCCTGAAATTTATCCTTTAACCGCTATGTATGTGCACATCCACTCCCAACGCAACATAAATAAAACGAAAATATCAATATATAGAAGCAGAAACATTTTAATAAAGGACAACCCCCACTCACAGAGATTGTCTAAGCTCCACTGGGCACAGAAGCCAACTTGACGTTTCAGATAATCAGGATCATCAGCCCACAACTCCAAGGTGACCAGTCGGTCACTAATACTGGATTCAGAGATAGTCAATTTATTTTCACCTGTTTAGAAGGATGAGATCTTTAAATAACAATGGCAGAGGAGGAGGATATACTGGGCAGATTAGTGGTGGTAAGGAATGAGGGGAGACAATACAGAATTTGGAGACTAGAACAGTTTTCATTAACACTTCCCTCTAGGGATGACACAAGCAAAAAGCTGTTGCTACTTTCTACATTTTCATCACTCTTTTAAAATATTTATTTGGTTATTATTATTTATTATTATTATTATTATTATTATTTTGGTTCTTTGAAATAGGGTCTCTCTATGTAGCTCTGGTTGTCCTGGAACTCCCTATGTAGACAAGGCTGGCCTCTAATGGAGAGCCGCCTATCTCTGTGCCCTAAGTGCTGTGATTAAAGGCATGTACCTTAGCACACAGTTTAAGATTTACTTTTTATTCATGTATATCCATAAGAGTCTGTGAATGTGTATGTCATGTGTGTCTGAGTGCCTGTAGAGATTAGAAAAGGGTTTCAGATTCCCTGGAGTGGAGCTACAGGTGGCTGTGAGCTGCCCAACAATGTTGGTGCTGGGAACCAAACTCCAATCCTCTGGCAAAGCATCAAGTGCTCTTAATTGCTGAACCATCTCTCCAGTCTCATCATGCCACTGCAATTATTCCTTTAAGTTCTCTGTGTGTGGTTTATGTATGTGTTTGTCTGTGTGAATATACGCACACGTGCGAGGCATGCATGGAAGCCAGAAGAGAGAGAGCACTGGGTGTCCTCGTCTACATGCTCCACCATTTCTTTTGAGGCAGGATCACTCCTTGAATTGGGGGCTTGAATTTTTGTGACTGGGCTGGAAGCCAGCAAGCCTCAGCAATTGTTTTGTCTTTGTTCACCCCAGAGGTATGCATGAGGTGCCAGGTTTGTTAATGAGCACTGGGATCCAAACTTAGGTCTTCATGACTGCAAAGCAAACGCTCTTAACTGTTGCAGCATCTTGCCATCCCCTTATCACTGAAGTTTTAGCTATAAAATTATAGTCACCATGCTTAGAATCTTAGTTGAGAAAAATCTTTTTGTTTTTGATATACTTTGATGGTTTTCTAACCAGAATGTATGTACATTTGATGGAGTTTAAAGTGTAGGCTCATTTTTTACAACCAACAAAGATCATTAGTGCAAGAAGTCACTATACCTACTTGTCTGGGCAAACTTTTCCAGTGCAATCAGTGCAAAAAGCATGACTGTAGGGTGGGAGTGTAACTTCTGAAAGACAACAAAAGATAAAAACAAAAGTCACCCCTACAGAGGCAGTAAGGCATCAACTTCATATTCCTTAATACAGGCCAGATTATATATTTGGAAAAGCAGAAAAGTCTCCCTCATTCAAACTTTCAATTGTCCACTTGGCTAATGGAGACTAAGATAGAATCTCTTAATCGATTTTTCAAAAATCATTGGGTTAATTTATAGATATGGACATTTCAGCAGTATCTTATTAAATGCATTATGCTATTAGACTTAGTAATATTTGCACTATGGCTTTGTTAACTAAAATAATGTTCATATTTATACTCATTAAAATAAGCCAAAAAGAAAAGCAGAATTATAGCTAAAAATGACCTTTAGGAACCACAAAGAAATACCAGTTCTAGAACTATAAATAATGATATTATCAATTAACATCTTAAGTTTTTTATGTGAGACAGGGTCTTTTATGTAGCCCTGGTTGTCCTGGAACTCGCTCTGTAGACCAGGCTGGCCTCAAACTCATGGAGATCCTCCTGCCTCAGTCCCCTAGTGCTAGGATTAAAGGCGTGCAGCACCACACCTGGCAATATCTTAGTTTTAATCTAGTTCCTGCAGGGAATTCTACAGTTGCTGCTGCTGACAGGAGAGATAAGAAGTGTACTTAACTTATATTTGAATTTACATCACCCACCTAAAGAGAGGCCTACATAGCCAGTTTAGCGCGGTTTACAGAAGCACTGTTTTCCCTGCTATAAAGCCTCTTCAGCATCTTTATCCTTGCCGCTTCCTTAACTCTCTTGCCTGGTTTTTCCAGTCCCAAATCTTCCAATTCACATCCTCCTCCCTCTGAACATTGCCTTCTCTGATCAGATAACCCTCACTTGGCTTCTGCCGTGCTGCTTTAGCCTGGAAACTCACTGTGAGTTCCTAATCTTAACCTTCTCATGAGCTAGCTAAGCCCCACCACATCAGGAAGTCTGTCTTCCACGATTACTACAGGCCCCTTGTCACCCTATCACACCCCACCCACCCATCCCTTCACCTTCTCAGAACTCTTACAGCACTCAGTCTGGAGGAAGTAATTTTGTCCTCGATCATATCCTGTCATAAACTGTAATTTAACTGCTGTCTGAATGGTTCTATTTCTTTACATTATAGTGAGCTTTGTGAAGGAAAATGACTCAGAGCTGTATAAGGGTTATTTTAATCACTTAATTTGTAGGCACCAACAAATGAATTCTTTTAGGATAAAGATTTTTAAAAAGACCAAGGCTCACTAGGCTTGCAAAAATAACTTAGAAACACAGGCTAGTCAATACTGCAGTCAAGAGCTATGAACAATAGGGAGACAGAGCTTCAACAAACCACCAGCTTCATGGGCGATACATTCATCATTCCACCAATGGCATTTTAACTGTAAAGGGAAGGGTGGGCAGGACTAGAGATTGTTATACACTGGGAACCAGGCCTGCTGTTGGAATGCCATGTAATTCTGTTTCCACTGTGTGTGGGGAGGTGTGGTGGACTGGTGGGGTGGTATTCTCCATTACTATTGTGTAGACTGTAAGAACACACAAGAAGTCCTAGCAGCTATCCTATGACTAAATTTAAAACTAGACCAATTCAATTATTATTTGCTTGTAATAAATTCCCACCTCTTTCTCTCTCTCCTTTCTGTCTCTAATCATAGGAGGTGATAAACAAACACCCAGGGAACACCCGTACATAAAATTTATAACTCACCCTATCCTCTGCACCAGGAACTATGCTGGTGATTTCAGAAAAACAGACAATCTGTATGATGAGAATAATTATCTTTGATGTCTTACTTACCAGACACTGTAACAAATATTCCAGTATTCCTGGGCTAAGTAAACCTATGCTTGCAGGACCTAGACAAACACAGCAAACACTGGATATAATTAAAAGTGCCATGCTATTTTAAATCAGTAACTAATAACAAAAATTATTTTGCTTCAGTTCTGTTCTCTGATACACACTCCTCAGGCCTCCTCTCTCAGGCTGTTCCTACTACCATCCCCATTTCACAGCTTAGCAACTGAGTTCACCAAAAAGAGAGCCATGATAGTCTAGACCAGCACCCACGTGTTCTGATTTTCAATCCATTATTTCTTCCAACATATATAAAGTAACTGGATGAAATATTCTCATGCAATTTGCTGTTAATATTCCTAAAATGGGTAATATTCATTACTATAAATGTATATAATATTTATTTGTTATACTATATTTTGCCTTTTCCCTGTCTTAAGCAAAAAATGACAAATTTATCTTAAATTTCTCTGAAAAAAATAAAGCTAAATTAGATTACATTTAACTGTTTTTTGAGTAATTTTCTTCCTTTTATTTCATTTCTGTTCATTCCTTTTTTGTTTTTTGTTTAAGGTCTCCCAGAGGTCTGGTTAGCCTCTAACTATACAGGGGAGGCTTGAGCTCTCAGCCCTTTGTCTCACAGTGCTATGGTTACAGATGTGAGCCACCACACTCAGCTTCCTTCTGCTACAAAAGACGGCCCAAAGGTCTGCAGCACAGATGTCTCAATGTCAAGCAAGTAAGGTTCTTGGGTGGCGTGTGCTAGAGTTACCTGCTAGTTTCTCAGCCAAGCAGCCAAGGACTGCAGACGTGTTCCTATGTTTGGCAGGGTGGCCTGAGTCCTGGCATGCTACTTCTCCATTTAAATTGAGAATTTCAGTCAATTTCTGGAGTGCATCCTATAAAAAAGTTACAAATAGATTTGATGAATATATACTCTGTACATTATTTTCCCATGGGAATTCCTAGAAACAAAACCATAAAAAGGTATTCAATGAACTTGGAATGATCACATAAAATTATAAAATGACTCCAATGGTATCATTATTGATGGGAAATATCTGATCAACCTTAAGTTTTCTCAATGCCCATATTTTCATTTTATCCAAAATGTAGCAGTTATAGACAATACATGTTTTATTCTTTTGTTTTTTGCGATGGAGTCTTGGTATATATGGTCATACATATAGCTATATATACCAAGGCTATCCTGAAACTCACTATAGCCCAGGATGGTCTTGAACTTCCTGCCTCAACTTCCTGAGCGCTGGAATTACAGGTATGAATTACCACATCCACTTTACAATATACATACTCTTGAATCATTAACCAGACTAAACCCATTTAAATGTTAATATGATTAATTACAGTAACTTGGTCATGGTGGAACATACCTAAAATCTTGGGACTCTGGAGGCTGAGGCATGAAAATTGTAGCATCAAGGCTAAACTGGGCTACCCAAGACCGGCCTATATTACAGAGCAAGACACTGTCTCAAAAAGAAACCAAACACACATAGTAAGACCCTGACTTAAAACAACAAATCCAAAAACATAAAACCAAAAATAATCATGACCTAGTGATGTTTAAATAAAAAATTACTTTTTCCCCCAAGACAAGGGCTCACAGTAGTCTAGCCCAGGCTGGCCTGTAATTCCCAATATAGTCCAGGCTAGCCTTGAGGTCATGTAATCCCTATGCCAGATTTCCAAATGCTGAAATTACAGGCATGAGCCACCTCACTCTGTGTAGCTTTGGAGCCTGTCCTAGAATTTGCTCTGCAGGTCAGGCTGATCTCGAACTCAGAAATCCACCTACTTCTGCCTCCTGAATGCTGGGATTAAAGGCATGTGCCACCACCGCTAGGCTGGGGTACTTATTTTTTAAAGAGAGGGTCTCATGTAGTCCAAGCCGTCCTTAAACCTATTGTGTAACCAAGGCATCAAGGCTTTCCTTGGACTCCTAAATTCCTACTTCTACCTGCTGAGTGTTAAAATTATAGGGATGTACTACAATGCTTGGGTTTACAAAAAGCTCTATCAGGCAAGAACAAATCCCACCAACTTTTTCCCCCTACCAACTTTTGAGGCAAATTAAAAATGGAAAATTTAGCATAGGCAATGACCAGTCTGACAATGACTAGGCTAAAGACATTCCTTTTCATGTTTTCCTACTCAAGTGTCTGAGGCTTCAACACACAAATAAAATATATCAGAATCCAAATTTTTAAAAGTATGCATAGGCACGGTGGTGCATGCCTTTAATCTCAGCACGCAGGCAAATTTCTAAGTTTGAGGCCAGTCTGGTCTACAAAGTGAGTTTTAGGCCTGTAAAGGCTACATAATACCCTGTCTCAAACAAAACAAAACGCGTACATGGAGGCAGTCTGTAGAAGGTAAAGGCCAAAGCAATGAAAATTTAACATTTGTGTCCTAGTTAGATTATGAGCCGGGCTATGCAAACCTCTAATGTGCTTAAGTAAGACTCAGAAGAGCTTTTGGTACTGTACTTTTCCTCTTAATAGAAAATCTTGGTTATGAGGAAGTTTCTCAGAGGCAGATAAATTCAGCTTATTTTCTTCTAGTTTTTAGACAAATCTTTCTACTTTAAATATTAAAAAAAATGCTGAACTAAAACTACTGAAAGAGGATATAGCACTTCATTAATAATAAAAATTTTCTTACTCCTACCCAGTAATATAGACTTCAAGTATATAAAGTCTATTAAATGCTTCTGTGATTATTCATGCTGTGTACAGATGGCACAGATGACAATTCCATGAAGATTAGTTTAACTTACTTTAGTGGGCAATGGACATTCGTCTAGTAACAAGGTTATAACAGCTGGTCCCAATGGATCTTCCAATGGAATAACTCTAATTAAAGACTGGACAACATCCAACCATCCTTCATCTAAGGGCAAACCAAGAAGATTATATAAAGGAGTCACTATTTTGAAAACATGAGAACATACAAAAGGACTTCACATCAACAAAGCAACGTTTTTGGCCTTTATGCAGTGGCTTTAAGAAGCCAGAAAAGCTGACCTGGGTACTATCATAAATCCCTAGTTGCTATGATGGAGCCAAAACCCTGTTACAGGTATCTTGTGACTCAAGGGCATTTTTAATTGGAGAAAAATTAAGCTATAGCCTTGATTCTCAGATTATGATTAAAATAGTTTTAAGCGACTCACTTGTTGAACAGGACTGAACTATGTAAACTCAGCACTTGGCTCGATTTTAGAATAATACTTAGGATACTGAAAGACAAACAATAGGACAAGTACAAAGACGCACCAATAAAGTTTTAAATCTCAATCAAATGAGACACAGTCATCATGGAGACGAGTAGCTCAATATTGAGGATGCAATGCATAGTCCTTATTACAATTTTACAGGAGACTTCCATACACCCAGAACCTTTTCTATGTTACATATGGCATTTTTACAATCTTTTATCTTTAAAAAGGTAGTCATACATTTTTCAATATTTTTAATAGGAAGCATTAAAAATAAAAACTTTAAAATACCTGTTTCTGCCATTTCATGTAATGTAATCATTGAGTAGGGAGGTTCCTGATCACTGAAAAACAAATATTCCAGACATTAGACTTGAATTTAATTCCAAATAAAATTCAAACTGGAAGTATGGGGCCAAAACAGAGACAAGAAATCAACATGAATGGATGTTAGGCAAGAGATGGAAGAGACGACTGTAAGAACAAACGTAGGCCATAGGTGCTCGCTTCCAGTCATGGGATGGCGCCCAAGAAAAAGCAGCAGGTAGGGACACACAACCCCCCTATGTGACCTGAGGGAAAAGCAGATCACATACTAAAACTAGGGACAAGAGTTCTCAGCTTTATTTCTCAAGGCCCAGTGGCAGCTGACACATGCCAGAAAGGTCATCAGCATCTTCCTCACACTTACCTTGAACAGCTGTTAGGATGGGAGGTGGTAATTCCACCGAGGACTTAGGAATCAAGGGCCTACAGATATATTACACTTACAAGACTTATTCTAAAAAAAAAAAAAATCACTGTTTGTTTAAACTTCATAAAATGTTAACAGACGAATCCAAAAACGAAAGCAAGAGGAATTATTTAATAATGTAGATAGCTCTCTAACATGGAATTAGATGTCTCAATGGGTTTTCACACTGTCACCCCAGGCATTCTAGAGAGGTGTTTTAGGGGAGCATCAGTGTTGAAACATTTTCCACCAAACAATGATAATTCAAATTGCTTAAGGATTCACCTTTTGTTTATAAGTTTCGGATTTCTGGTTTTTTTGTGTGGGTGTATGTGCAGATACGTGTGTTCGTGTGCGCATGCACGTGGGGAGGCAGAGACTGATGTCATGCTCCATCACTCTCCACCTTACTTTTCGAGACAGTGTCTCTCAGTGAACCTGAAGCTCACCATTTCTAGCTTAGACTGATGGTCAGTGAGCACCCCTGGGATCCACCTGTCTCCACTCTATCTATAGTGCCAGGGCTATAGATGCACCCAGCTTCTACCCAGGTGCTGGGGATCCAGAACTCAGCGTGCTCAGCTTGCCAGGTAATGGTCCTCATGCTGTGCAGCAAGCAGTTTACTCACTGAGCCATCTCGTCTGCCCTGGGTTTCTGTTTCCTACTATGGAAAAAACAAGCAAACAAACATAAAAACTATTGTCTTCAGTCATTTAATCCTCAGAACAACTTTGAGATAAGGAGATTACTACATTTATCTCAGATGTTCATTAGGTGCTTGTTACTTGGCAAACCTGTGTCTTTTCACAAGGTGGGTTAATTATTTAAAAGGTGTTTGAGGGCCAGTGAGATGACTCAGAGGGTGAAGGTGTCTGCTGAGCAAACCTGATGACCTGGGTTCTACCCCCGTCTTATAGTAGGAGACTTCCAAAAGTTATCCTCTGTCTTCCATATATACACCATACCCCAGGAGCACCCATGCCTCCCACCACGAACATAAATAAATGTTTTAGGTGGGGCACAGTAGCACATGCCTGTAATCTCAGTACTCAGGAGGTTGAGATAGGAGTTCTTGTCTCAAAATAAAAAAAAAAAAACACTTAAAAATATAACTATTGCACACATTCCCAAAGGACAGTATTTCAATAATAAAGTCAAATATGCACATACCTAACATCTTTAGAGAAAGTTACATAGGTCTACACATAAGCGTATATTTTTGCTATTTATCACAGGGTATTTGCAATAAGAACTTTGCATTTGCCTAAGTAACTATTACCATATGAAAATACGTGACAAAATATGGTACTTATTTTGTCAGTTGGGTAGTGGTGGCGCACGCCTTTAATCCCAGCACTTGGAAGACAGAGGCAGGTAGATTTCTGTGAGTTCAAGGACAGCCTGATCTACAAAGGGAGTTCCAGGACAGCCAGGGCTACAAAGAGAAACCCTGTCTCTAAAAACAAAACAAAAAGGACTTTCAAGCATACAAAGGAATTCTCTGTAGCAGCCAGAAGCAGGAATAGATTTACATATAGCAATACAGGTCTCAAAAACAATAATGAGAAAAATTTTTTTAAAAAAGTTTTCTATAATTAAATTGATAATGTACTTTTTAAAACCCACCCCAGGGGGCTGGAGAGATGGCTCAGAGGTTAAGAGCATTGACTGCTCTTCCAAAGGTCCTGAGTTCAATTCCCAGCAACCACATGGTGGCTAACAACCATCTATAATGAGATCTGGTGCCCTCTTCTGGTATGCAGGCAGGCATGGAAGGAATGTTGTATACATAATAAATAAATAAATATTTTAAAAAATAAAATAAAATAAAACCCACCCCAACTCCTCTCTATAGATATTCTTCTGATATAGATGCAAGTAAATGTAAGCTTGAAAGTGGAACACTAGTATGATTACCTACTGATATGTGGAGGGGGGTGATGAAAAAAATAAAATTCAGAGAAAAATAATAAAATGCAACAGAGCCAGCAGCCAAAAAGGTAAAGAAATATTGCTGTCTATGTGGAGATACATAAAGGACACAAACACATTCCTCTGTCAAAGGAGATACATGTCCAATGAGGCAGAAACAGCAGACATTTCTGATGGACGGTGTGCCAGAGGATTACCGAGCTGTAGGCTGTGAAATGGACAGAGGACTGAGGATGCTCAGCTTGCTTCATCTATGGTAGGACAGGAAAGCTGCACAAAGTAATCTGGAGCATGGATCCCTCTCAGGGAAAGGAGTTAAGAAAGCTGAAGGATAATTAGAGATACAAGTACTGTAAAGTCTCCAGTGACAATTTTTTTTTTAGAAGGCAAAATAAAATTCATGTTACTGGCCTTATCTTTTTACAGAATTGGAAACCCAGAACTACCGATTTTAATTATGTTTACTTGGAGACTGGGGGAGCATATTAGCATGGCATAGTGAGGAAAAACGCAGGAGGAAATCTGCAGCTGGATATGATGGCACATGCCTGTAACTGAGCAGTTTAAGAGGCTGAAATGGGAAGACCTCACACTGTGGCCTGCCCCACCTACACAGTGAGACCTTGTCTCAGAGAGAAAGGGGAAAAAGGAGTCTGTAAATTAAACTTCCAAACATGTTTAGAAAAATCCAAAACCCAGGCTGGAGAGATGGCTCAGTGGTTAAGAGCATTGCCTGGTCTCCCAAAGGTCCTGAGTTCAATTCCCAGCAACCACATGGTGGCTCACAACCACCTGTAATGAAGTCTGGTGCCCTCTTCTGGCCTGCAGGCATACATACAGACAGAATATTTTATACATAATAAATAAATAAATATTTTAAAAAATTTCAAAACCCTAGCATTAAGATCATAACAATCTGAGCCACTATTCAAAATAAGCAAAGATTTTAAAAATAATTTTAAAATAAGCTTATTTGCAGGAACAACAACTATAAGAAGTACGTGAAAACAAAATGGCCAAACAAAAACCAAGAAGCAGACATGAAAAAGAAAAGAAAATGGAATTCGGATATGCCAGAAAGAGAAACTGGGTGAATCTGAAGAGAACATGCCTGTACTCTGCCATTCGGGAGGCTGAGGCGGGGAGAAAATCCTGAGTTTGAGAGACCTTGACTCAAAAAGGGGGCAGAGGCATATACATACAGGGAAAAATACTGAAGGATTCACTTTGAATACCAGAAATATTCAAAGATGTAATAGCTGAGAATTTCCAGAACTGAAGAACAAACACAAAGGATTAAAATCAGGCAGCCACAACAAGAAGAAGGCCAAGTATAAAGGCATGCTGCGATTAGGCCATTTATTTCAAAATAAAGTTTGGAGAACTAGAAAAAAACAGCATAAAAACTTTGCTCCACAGCCTCTCTGCCATGGCACTGGGCACCTGCTGTTTTCTCACACCAGCTGCATTTCTTCCTAAGCAAACAAGAAAATCTAACCAAGAGACTGTTTGGTAACTGCCACATCTACATCTGTAACAGATTTAGATATATTCTTGCTACATCCCTTTGTCCTGTCCTTTCTAGTTCTTGACATTTCATCTTGACAACCTCAAGAACCAAGTTATAAAATTACCCTTTAGTATATTCTGAAATCAAGTCGGGAACTTGATTTCTGGGGAGATGGCTCTGCAGATAAAGCACAAGTGTGAGGACCTTGAGTCCCCAGTACCCACATAAGAGTCTGGTGCAGAAATCCCAGAGATGACAGGCAGGGACAGAAGTCCTCTAAGTCTGCAGGCCAGTTCACAACAAAAGAGGCAGGTCTCAAACAGGCAGAGGGTGAGGACAGACCTCCGGGTTGTTCTCTGACCTCCACACCCATGGCAAGCGCGTGCCTGCACTCACAAGGCTTGGTGCGCACATGCGTGCACACACATACATACATACATCACACACACAATACTAATTAAACTATAAAGCTGGGTTATCTCTGTAATCTCAGGTACTCCGGAGGCAAGGCAAGAGGATTGCAAGCTTAAGACCTGCTTTACTTTTCTAGTCTCAGAAATTATACTTATCATTTTATAGAGACAAATTTAAGTAGAAGTCACCTTGTTACTCAAGCATTAGTACTTGACTCCCTCCCCCCATTTTTTTTGGAGATAGAGTTTCTCTGTGTAGCCTCGGTTGTCTGGAACTCAAATTCTGAGATCTGCCTGCCCTTGCTGGGATTAAAGAGATTTGCTTACCTCTGCTGGGATTAAAGGCACACTTGCTTCTCCTATGTGAATTATTATGAGCTTGATTAACAAGAAGACTTAAAATTTGTAATGCTTGCTTGGAACTTGGAACTAAAGCTTGCTCCTATATCCTTTACACTTGCCTTTAAAATACAGCAAACCTACTCAGCACCTGTTTCTCAATTGCTTAATTAACATTGTTGTGGTTTACTTCCTTGTTTGGAAAGGATAATTTTCCATTATAGTTATATAATATGAAGGATAACTTTTAAAAGAAATATTCTTTTGTGTGTGTTGAATCTAGTTAAGAGCTTAATGGATATTAGTCAAGTGTTCTAACTTGAACTAATATCCCTAACCGCCCCCCCCAAATTATTATTCTTGTAGATCAACAAATAACTCAGCACTGTGTAGAAGACTCTAATATAGCTCTAAGGATTTATTTGTATATTTTAGGTGCACAGTGTTTTTTCTTTATCATTTTTTAAAGAATTAAACAAAACTGCTTTTATTTGTGTGATTATTAAATACTTAGAAATTTTCTAGCAGGGCCTAAAGCAAAAACTGAAAATGACTGCTGTCTTTTGAGCACTTCCTTTTCTATTTTTCTAATATTACTGAGTTTTTTAAAAAAGATTTGCCGGGCCATGGTGATGTGCACCTTTAATCCCAGCACTTGGGAGGCAGAGGCAGGTGAACCCCTGTGAGTTGGAGGTCAGCCTGGTCTACAAGAGCTAGTTCCAGGACAGGTATGACTGTTACACAGGGAAACCCTGTCTCAAACAATCAAAAAAAAAAAAAAAGATTTATTTAATGTGCATTTGTGTTTTGCCTACATGCATATCTGTGTGAAGGTGCCAGATCCCCTAGAACTGGAGTTACAGACAGTTGTGAGCTGCCATGTGGGTGCTGGGATTTGAACCTGGGTCCTTCGGAAGAACAGTCAGCACTCTTAACCACTGAGCCATCTCTCCAGCCAAAGAATAATAATTAAAAAAGATTAGAGAAGTACCTTGCTCAATGTGATAAAGTTAGTAATGAGCTAGAATCTGAATCTAGGCCCTTTGTGGTCTAACTTAGACACTTACTAAATAACTTTGAACTTTTTTCAATTTGAACAATATCCTTTAATTTCACTGCCATTCAAACTTAGATTTTGTTTTTAGACAAAGCAGGAGAAGGAGAACACAGGCCCAGGTGTGCCCTGCAGTTTCAACTTACAATTTCTTCAAATGTCTCTAACAGGCTAAATAAGAAATAAGAAAGAAGGAGGGAGGGAGGGAGGGAGGGAGGGAGAGAGAGAGAGAGAGAGAAGTTGCACGTAGCCATATTCTTGGTAAGACTACTTATCTTGAATATATGATCAGCAGAACAGATTGGCAAGCACAGTAATGGATCTTCAAGAAAGCATTTTCTCATTTCCTACTTCAGCAAGTAACACAAACTCACTCACCCTTATAAAGATCATGTTTTCAGTAAGAGTTTTCTGTACAGAAGCATTCAAACTTTTCCAGACAGGAGAAGATGACAGCAAGTAAAAACATCCAACCTTATTTACTCTGCCAAGGAGAAATAAGCATTCTCTCTTGGCCTAGGAGCACAAGGCTTTGCAAATAGAACTTAAGTGAATGGAAGGAGTCCAAAAATGGTGGTTCCTGGCAGAACACTTTCCATGACACTGGTGGCGACAGTAAGTCAGATACTTACTTATCTACAAGAGTCCGTATTACCGCCAGTGTATCCAGCACTAACCCATCCACATTTTGTTTCTTTCTCCTTGGTTCATGTGGTCCTCGGCCTCTCCTTGGAGGCCGAACAGGGTCCCGAGGTTGGCTCCTAATGTCAGCAGTAGGGACTGCACTGTTTTCAGCCTGCTGCTGGTGGGTGTCAACACTGTCTTCTGCTCCACTGTCATCTCGGCAGATACAGGAATTACCCATAGTAGTAGTGGCACCTGTAGTCCCCAACAGGTGGGCTATGTGCTCCTCAAGAGTCAACAGCAGACCCTGGCCAAGGCTTCTGCTTGCTAAGAACACAGCCCAACCAAAGACAATCATTTAGATAGTTTTCAGTTTCCCAGGTACTGTTTCCATGATGTGGAGTTGAGCTCGCATTCTATTCATTTCTAACAACTGCGTGCTGGAGAAGGTCGGACAGCTGACTTCCAACATTATCAACCACCAGGAATGCTGGCCATGCACTGGCAGTTCTACAAGAGAGGAAAAGAGAAAGGAAATTAACAGAAGATCGTGGTTACCCAATTACTCAAATTTTGCTAGTGTGGTTTTAATAGCATTCAGATTACAATGAAATATCACCTTGGTTATTTTTATAGGTTCCCATTATAAAGATATCTTTGGATAACAGATCAACAATTCCTTTTAAATTAAAAAATAAACATGATTGTTTTGTATGCATGTGATATATGTGGGTGTAAAAAAGTGCCCACCAGAGCACATATAAGAAGGCCATGGGACAATGTTCAGAAGTCAGTTTTCTCCTACCATGTGGGTCCTGGGGAACGAATCAGGTTATCACACTTGCACAGAAAATGCTTTCAACCACTAAGTCATCTCACCAGCACCAATAACTCCCTTCTATCATTCATTAAATTTAAAACTGATTGATTGCTAAACCATATCCTTGTAAGCCACAGGACTTCTACTCAATGTTTAAAAACCATATATGTAATTCCTATCCCTATAGAAATACATCTGACAAACTTACGCAACATTTTGGGAGGGGGGGTGAGACAGGGTTTCTCTGTGTAGCTCTGGAGCCTATCCTGGAACTTGTTCTGGAGACCAAGGCTGGCCTTGAACTCACAGAGATCGGCCTGCTTCTGCCTCCTGAAAGCTATGATTAAAGGCGTGTGCCACCACCGCCCAGTAGTATGCTACATTTTCAAAGGCTCCTTCTGTGATTAAAAAAAAAAAAATCATGTCCTTTATTTAAACATATGGGAAAATTTAATGTTTCAAATAAAATATCTAATTACAGATGTCTATTGATGAAAAAGTTATGATACAAATATCATAACTCCTATCTAATAATAAAAGAGTGAAGGAAGCTACACTGATTTCCCAAAGGAGGATCACTCAAGAATTTAACAGAAATCAGGGCTGGGGAAATGGCTCACTCTACAAGCATGAGGATCCAAGTTCAAAACACCAGCACCCCCATAAAAGATGACATGGCAGTATGTGCTTGTAAACTTAGCATTGGGCACTGGATCCTTGTAGATCCCAAGTAACTCATCTAGCTAAAATGGTCAGCCTCCAGTTCAGTAAAAGATTCTACTTCAAGACAGTAAGGCAGAGAGCAATAGAGGAAGACATTCCATATTCTGTTCTGGCCTCTACATATCCACAGAGGACATATGTACATGCACCAACCACCCATAGAGAGGAGGGGAGGAGAGGGACGGAGTGGAGGGAGGGAGAGGAACAGAGGGAGGGAGGTGGGGAAGGGGAAGAGGGAGGGAAAATTTATAGAAATCATGCAAATGGTTACACACAAAGTTTTTCTGTTACATAAGGAAGATTGTTTAGAAAAATTGTGAATTCATGAAGAAAAGTTATGTTCTTCACAATGATTAGTCTGTTGCTACAAAGTTAAGAGTAAAATCACTGAAAGAGTCCGAGCACCTTCTGCCAAACATTAGGCTGAGACTAGGAGGCTAAAAACAGGGAAGGCAAAGTCCCTGCACTCCATGGATGGCTAGTCTCATCCCACACAATGTGCTGACCATCATACATGATGGAAACAGCTCTTCATTGATCTGAAAACGTGTGACTAGGTTCTGGAATGAAGTCTTGGAAGTAGGTGATAGAAAAAAATGATAAGTAAAACTAAAACTAAAACAATAAAAAACTCCAACAATAGGCCAGGTGTGGTGGTGCACACCTTTAATCCCAGCATTTAGGAGCAGAGGCAGGTGGATCACTGAGTTCGAAGCCAGCCTGGTCTCCAGAGTGAGTTCCAGAACAGCCAGGACCACACAGAGAAACTGTGTCTCAGAAAAACAAAATAAAGTAACACCCCCCCCCCAAAAAAAAAAACAACAAAAAAACAACAAAAAACGGAGATGAGAATTTTTTCTTTAAGGTTTGAGGACAATTTTATTAGAGTTTAATAGAAAAAACCTAAGGCAGGCAACCTGTAAATCTCAGTGGCTACTTTGGGGAGAAAAGAATGGAGAAGGAAAAATATCCATGCCATATGAGTTATACTGAAATGGAGATTAACTACAGGGTGGGAAGAGAGACTTTGAGTTTGAGAAAGACTAAGAAAACTTAAAGTACCAGAAAGCACTAACTCTGGCCAGTGTCCAGAGAGTCAGAAAAAAGGAGAAGGTGTATCATTCAGAAAGGTGGGCAGACCCAACAGAACCTCACGGCAGCTTGTAGAGAAGGCCAAAATGTTTACCTACACAAACACACACACACACACACACACACACACACACACACACACACTCACACGTATACATACACATACATACTTACAAGGGTGTAACTGAATATATAGGTAAGAAAATGATAAAAGGACTCAGCTGGAAATAGGTTTTTTTTTTTAAAACATAAAACATACCCTAAACTCACAAAAGCTGTATTATATTCCTATTACTATGAAGGCCAGAGTAAAATTCCCTCTCGAGAGTAGATAATCAAAAGTTTTCAATGCTTAACAGACAAAGGAGAAAGAAACCAAAGATAACTTTACTAAGTTAAAGGGGTTTTATAAATTAAGCCGATTTCTGAAAGAGACCAAGTGACATTTAAAAATACACACTCTAAGCCAGGCCTAGCAGCAAGCACGTGACTGCACTTCTAGCACTTAGGAGGCTGAGGCAAGAGGATTGTGAGGTTTTTGTTTGTTTTTTGGTTTTTGAGACAGGGTTTCTCTGTAACTGTCCTGAAATTTGCTTTAGACTAGGCTGGCTTCAAATTCATAGAACTCAAGATCTGCCTGACTCTGCAACCCCATGTGTTGGGAATAAAGACATATGAGTTTTAAAAGCCAGCATGGGTTATATAGCACGACACTGTTATATGTGTGAGCTCATGTTTTGGCCCTTCCTGTCCAATAATCCACAAGGCTGTTCACAACCACTTACAACTCCAGTTCCAGCGAATCTGGTTTCCAAGGGTTCCTGCAAGCAATATGGTGTACATAAACTCATGCAAGTAAACACATCTAACATAGATAATAAATATATCTTTAAAAAGAGAAAAGAACAATGTTAAAAGCATCCATGAAGAAGGCAACTTGTTGGGTCTCAACAACTTCAGACTTCATCCTATCTAAAATTATTTTCCTAAGGCTTGTTGTATATGTTTAGAATAATTAATTCCTTAATGTAGATTTTTTTATTTAGTATAATTTTAAAGTGATTTGAAGACACTACATACATGCAAGAATTTTTAAAGCCTGACTAAGTTTGAAGTAAGAAGGGAAAAATTAAAGTTTTTTTTTAATTTCTAAATTGAAGTCAAATGCATTTTGGGTCACTGCCTTCAATAATCCAGAAAACGGTGTCCACTATAAAGTTCTTAGGAAGAATATGGAGTGTATTTTGTGGGGGAGGGTGGTGTGGTTTGTTTATAAATAATCTCACTAAGCTGTCCAGACCCAGTTTGGCACTGAATTCCTGACTTGTATGATTCTCCGTCTCAGTTCCCCAAGTAGCTATGACTATTGGCATAATGCTACCAGCCTAGTTAAACAGATTTTTTAAAGTTTTCAATTATTTTAACAATAGAGAGACTTTTTCTTCCTTTGCTTTAATTAATTTTGTTTTGTTTTATCTAGACAGGATTTCACTATGTAGCTCTAGCTGTTCTGGAATTCAGGCTAGCCTCGAACTCACAGAGAGCCTCCTGCCATTGCCTCCCAATTGCACAGCACTATGTCCACTAGAGACTTCTTCTTTTTTTTTTTTTAAACAAAAAGCTATAATGACCAGGTGTGGTGTAGGTGGTAGAAGCCATGAAAGGTTACACAGAAGATCACTCATGAAACATAAAGAAAAAATTAGAGCAAAAACATACAAAGAAAAGGCATATAAAGAAAAAACTATCTTTAAAGAGTTTGTGAAATGACCATATTCTTTAGGCTTACAGACATGGCACACATATGTACAATGTATAATCTCCTTCAGCTTCATTCAGTACTACAAATGCATAGCTTCATCCTTAGAAGTGGGAGCTACCATGACATGCTTTCATTGGAAAGAAGCCGTGATTAAATTACACTTCAAACAACTTTGTTTTGTCTCTAAAGGAAAGAGGCAGTATGTGTTCCATTGCCAAGGACCACTGCTTCAGGACAGCATTTCCAGCTATTGCTTTTGCACAGGATACCAGAGGCCACTTGAAGCACAAGCACAGTACATGGACATCACAGACAGGCCTGGGTACAAGTCCCAGCTCTGTTCTGTTTACTGGCAGGCACTCTAATGAATCTGACCATGATACACTTTACAAAGAGGAAGACAGTAATAATTCTTACCTCACAGTAACTCCAAAGAGTCAGAATTCATATTCCTAGGATGTGGCCCACGCCTGTGACTACTGAAAAGCTCCCTAGGTGATTCTGATGCCAGCCAAGTCTGGAAATCACTGTTAGTTCCTGGCACAGAACCTGGCATCTACTGAAAGAATTATGGGGCAGACTGAAATACTAAGTATGGTTCTTGCGAGGTCAAATATATCAATATTCCTTCCAGAAAAATAAAGATTATTTTTAAATGCTTGGAGATGACAGCCAAAATAGCCATTAAGAAATAGTCATACCTACAAAATAGTGAGGGTGAAGGAGGGCTCCAATATGAATGTATAAAAATTTCATAATAAAACACTTTAATTAGTGAAAAACAATAAAAACAGCTCCATATAGTATTTTTCATCAGATCTACCCTGTAAAACATCACTAAGAAAGTAGATGGTATCCTGCTTATGGGTACATTACCCAGAGTTTGAGAAAACTACAGTTTATATAAAAGCAATACACTTTTAATACCTATAAACTTCAACATTATCTTTTTTTTTTTTTCGGTTTTTCAAGACAGAGTTTCTCTGTAGTTTTGGAGACTGTCTTGGAACTAGCTCTTATAGATCAGGCTGACCTCGAACTCACAGACATCCTCCTGCATCTGCCTCCCAAGTGGTGGGATTAAAGGCGTGCACCACCACCACCCGGACAACA